AAAACGTAACTTCAACAAAAAAAAAAAAAAAAAAGAAGGTTAGTTACAAGTTTTCATATATTCTAATGCTAAAATTGTTAGGTCTTAAGGTGTGAATTAGAAGTCAAAATGTGAAAATACTTAAAACACACATAATTGTTAAATAACGTATGTGGTGTTTAGGTGGTTGTACTTAATAACATAACATATTCTTCTTTTATCAGAGCTTACTTATATATTTAAGTACCGATGATTTTAATACTCTAAATATTTTATGTGTTTATAATAAGTTCAACATTTTATTGAAAAACAATTATTGTTGTTGAGATAAATAATAGTTAAATATAAATAGTTATAAAATAATATTAAAATAGTAATTACTTATTATTGTTATTATTTAGTAAACTTATTATATATTTTAAATTAATTATGTCCAAACAAAATCAAATTTGTTTTCCATTTTATATAAAAACGAATACAAGTATATTTTAAACTAGATGCATCCAAACATTTATAATATCATTTATTACTTGACTTGGCCAAAGATAAAGGAGATATAATATTATAACATTAAAAAGATCTCAAACAACGTTAAATATATAATACAATTAAAAATATCAACTAATTTTTATCACGCATTATTTTTATCAAATAACTTATCAATAAATAACCGTTTCAAATAGTATATCAAACATAACAAAGAATTCAAATATGATAGTGATGGGGAGGATTAAAGCAATATGGGTTATAAGAATTATCATAAAGGATCAATTGATTCAACAATTAGATTAGGATTAAAGCAATATGGGGTATAAGAATTATCATAAAGGGTCAATTGATTCAACAATTAGATTACTAAAGTTGATTAGCCTAGAATTTATATTTTTTTAACATGAGTATCAAATTGTAGTTGGATCCAAAGAGGTTTAAATTCTTGGACGGTGGCCGTAATATTTTCACTATATACCCTCTCTTTTATTATTTTATTTTATACCACTATTTTAGTATATTAGTTTTATTTATAATAAATGCATAATAAAATATTGATTAAACTACATCATTAAAAATAATTTGTCGAGATGTTATAAATGAGACGAATATAACCAGTCACCAGATAGGAAGTGAATATATGTACACAACTCGCTACAAGAAAAAAGAAGCCATGAATGAATCATCAAATATTTAAGTCATTGGTGGTGCATAAACTTACAACGCCAACAACAACAACAATGCAGACAAAAATACTCCGTAGAACCACCGTGGCTGAACCGCTGCACTTATTAAGAAACCATCGCCAAAACCTCCTATTGGTTCGTCCGGCGGCAGCTGTGCTGGTGGCGGCGGTGAAAGTACCGGAATATCACAACTCCCAAACGTCGCATTCACCCTGCAATACGCAATATTCGGACATCCACACGTCATATGACCATTTGCTTGATCAACGGCTTCCGCTGCTCCTCCGCCGTCATTCCTCTGGTAAAAGTCAACCGCGATATAATTCGGCCACCGTCCGCCTGCTGCTTGTTGGCATGTGTTCATCATCGAGATCAGTGAAGCGGAGTTATCGATACAAGCTCCGGTTACATTAGGGTTAGTGGAAAAGTAGTTTTGAAGAACCAACGCTCGGGATGTTGTGTTCATTGCAGAAGATTCAGATCGATTAGGGCATGAACCAGCAATCTGACCCTCGTTTCCATCTAAGACCAAATTAGGGTTTGCAAAACTTCGATCAATCTTCTATGAAAAAACAGATATCAAAAAATATGAATGATATTTATCTAAACTTACATTGGTTTTCTACAACGTATGTCCATTCATATGCGAAACCTTCAGATGCTTCTTTTGTAGATTTGGAGGTGAAGACAATCAGGCGCTGATTCCGGGAGATCATATCGGTGATTATTGGCCATTCGCCACCTTCTTTGGGCATTCGATTCAAAGGAAACATGTATTTACTAAGCCCGGATGCATTAAACACCTTCGGCAATCCATCTTCTGATGTCACATAATCCTCGATGAAAATGGTGATGATTTCACTCGGATTTTCCTCTAAAAACGTTTGAATTTCTCTTAGCACGTTGATGGCTGGTTGCTAACAGTAAAAGAACAACGATAAAGAAGCTGAAGCTAGCTACATGATTCATGAATCATACAAACGATAGAAAGAAGAAGATTTGCTTACATATGCTGTGATATTATAGCACTTTCCCCCAAAGGAATGACACATCCAGATATCGTCGTTGAAGTCATACATATCCAACATTAATCCTCGAACTCCATTCTACGTAGACGAATAACACATCAAATGAATGAAGAAGAGATGAACCAGATAAGTTTTATAAGGAATTCGCTTTAAAATCTTACTCACGCGTAACTGAGAGGCAACATCATCTTCCTGATTGGCGGGACCAAGAACAGGGGAACCAGTAGGTGATTCTGAACCGGAAAGCGCAAATGAATTATGAGTCGTCAGCCATGAATACCGATTAAACGGGAGCCCATTCACCTGTTCAAAAATTAAAAAAGTTACGCAAAAACCCTAGAACAACAATCGGATTTGAGACTCTGTTCATCTTCATTCTTCCCCAAATACGAGTTTAACAAAGAGAAACTAACTTCCAGACCTTCGAAGTAGGATTGATTGGTTGGATTCGAGTGCATCTAGGGCGGGTATTGCCACTCGCAGGGCAGGTTCCACACCGCAACCCGCCGTCGCATTTGTCGTCGTCCATGGAACATGTTTCTCCGATCTGGTTCCAAATTGTGGAGGAATTAGCGCCATGAATGAATTCGGGAAATTAAAAAAAATGAAGAGAAGAATCAAAACAGACCTTTAGAGATGTTGAGAATTGGAATATACAAAGTATGGTGATGACGAGGATGATATTGTGATGATCGAATCGCGGCATTTGGAGCCTTCTTCTTCGGCAAGAATCTTGATTACAGACGGAGAGAGAGAAGCGGGGCGGTTATATGGTTTGGAATTAGTTTTGAAAAATTCATGGTTCGGCATCTTGACTTTTACGTGAGTTTGGTTTGACTCTTGTTGGCTTCTTTAATGGGGAAAATTAATGTGTAAAATAAAAGGACCTACGATCTTTTAAATAGTTCCAACTTCCAAGTTTTAGTCTCTTCTAAAATATTGTAAGAAGTTCTGTTATGCCGTTTAATCGGAGTTAATTGAATTAAATCTGATTAAGTAAAAGCTTATCAAGTCATACCCAATCTATTATCTGGTCGGCTTGATGGGTCTAAAAAAACTCAACCCGGATACAACCGATATGAATATTCGCGTCATTTTGCTCAACACTAACCTCGATTAGCCATAAACGGGTCAACCTGTGTAACTTGTTTTATTTTACGGATTTACGGGTTGTTGAGTCAACTTCAGATTTGTAGGTTATAATCGGGTTTGTGGGTCACGAAAAAAAAGTCTAAATATCACATATTTACTTACTTATTAGTCCTTAATTTCAACTTTATTTAAC